GAATGCACAGTTCCATCAGAGAGAGATCCACGTTGGCCTTACTGTATTTGCTATTAAGAAGTAAGTTCAAAGTCAGTCAGTCCTGTGTCATAATATGGAATTATCTCATCCTCAAAGGAAATAATAATGGTAGCATTGAGAAGAGGTTTGCATAAGCTTCTAAAAATGTCTTTGTGCACACCCCCTCCACACTAAATAGAACAGACTGCCAGAATATACATATATCAGGGGAACCTCTGGGTGACAATTTTTCTTGCCTTTGTAGTCAGAAAAATGTCGCTCTTTATCCACCTACTGTGGTGGTCAGTGGGAGATCTGGAAGAAAAGAAACTGCCTGAATATCAGATTCCAGAACTAAATTCCTTCGCTCTACTGAACTCTTTACATGACATTTTCATGTTGGCATTAATGGATTGTTTGGAACATTTCGTGATGTAAAATAATTTATGCTTTGCTGTGTTTTTGCTACCAACCTTCTGTTGTGCCAGTAAATACCCAAGTACAGGTAAGCAACGAGCAAGACAGTAGCCAATCATAGCCTTCACATGGTTCACTATAACCTGTGCATTAATGGTAAGGTTTAAACAAGGCCTAAGATTAGGATATAGACCTCTGAGCTGTTGGATAAAAAATATTTTATTTATGAATCTGAAAAAGCATACATTAGTCTCTGTGACATTCTGGAGAAAAGACTCTCTCCCTCTGCAGTACAGACTAAAACTGAGTATACATCATCTCCTTTTGTATAGATGCATTGAAAGTTTGCTGGGAAACTTTCTGTTTGTCACCCTATAATCCTATAGATCTCATTAGTCATGATTATACTCGCTATATAAATCACTTCTATAGTATTTGGTTAATAACCATACACCAGCTATACTACGCATGGACACCAGAAAAGTAGTTTTTATATTTTATTATCATGGTCTACAGTCTGGAAATTTTCTAATGAGTGGGGAAAAATCTGTTTGTTTTGGAAAAATATTCTGAATGATTTTTCTTTGAACAAAAATCTAGCCATTAGGGATCATTTACACTTGCTTTGACTTTAACACACATTAAAGCACCTACCTCTTAAACATGCTTTTTGAGTTTTGTGTTTTTGATGCTTTGGTGATGATTTGTTTGAAGCTTTAATGAAGCTTGCCCTGTGAGTGTTTGATTTTCGATTTATTTTAAAGGGGACCTGTAAAACCCCAGGTCAGTAGTACCCCCACTAGCACATCCCCAGCTCATTGGTACCCTCGCTCAGTAGTAACCTGCAGCTTTGATGATGACCTACTCAGTAGTAACCCCCAGCTTTGCTGATGCCCTGCTCAACAGTAGCTCCATCTTTGCTGATCCTCCTCTCTCTCTTTGGTCCCCGCTCACCTCCCGTTATATTGCTCCTGCATTGCACCCCACATGTGTTATCTGCTAGTTTCTTCTGCTCTGGTCCCCCAGCTCTACTGATCCTCTGCTGCTCTGTCCTCTCTTTTTGGTTCCTACTCACCTTCTGCTATAGCGTTCCGTGTTGCAAACCACATGTGTCATCTTCTAGTTGCTCCGCTCCAGTCTGGACCCCACTCATCTTCCTGCTGCTCCACGTTACACACCAGATGTGATTTCTGCACCAAGCACTCCCAGAATATATACACATGAACCGGAAGTGACTGATGATGTCTTTCTGTTTCGCTTGTTGGTTTCCCAGTGCATCCTGGGATATCTCATACCTGCCATACCTCCAGAACAAAGTGAAGCTAAAGCTGAATAAAAGCCTCTCAAAAGCTGCTGGTACTGTAAATGAGTTTTATCATAGACTTCTATGGAGGCATTGGAGATGCTTTGAAGCACCAAAAAGGCAACATGGGGTATAATTTTTGAAGCAAAACAAATACAACATATAAACAGGACTGTAAGCTTACTCTTTTATTTCATGACAGGTGCTTTGGTTGGCATTCAGAGTGCTTTAAAAAAAGACTGCCCAATGCCACAATTTTGAAGCAAGTTTAAACAAACCTTTAGGTCGTAATACAAAGTTCATATTCAGAAGTCTCTGGGGCATCTGTCTTTCTGTGATGGTAAGGATTAGAGATGGGTGGCACCTGAGCATAACCTCTCAGATGTTTTACAAAGCGCTTTTCTTAGAGATAAAGCTGGCCATACATGAACTGAAATTCGTCAGGAACCGGATGGATTTCAATCCATTCATGGCTGTTCCTGCTCATGAGAAGTTGATCTATTGATCAATTTCTCATAAATGGTCCTTCTGGAAAATTTTCATTTGATCACTACTTGCTGCCAATCAGCTGCAGCGCTGATTAGTGTATTCTGACAGTGGGGGGCCCACATTAAATGTTTGGTTGGGGGAATCTGGTCACTTCATTTTTCATATAATCCACTGTCTGAACAAAAAAAAACCAAAATACTGATCCATGTATGGCGTATGGCTTGCTTATGTGCTGTATGTAGGACTAGTTGGCATCACACTATTGTGCTGTGATAGCACACTACAGTATGTTGCCATGCATTGTGTTTCACTAAGAGCACCAGGTGCAGTTTTACCTGCACTGCCTTAAAATAAAACATGTTACACACAATATTACTGCAAAAGAGTGATCCTGGCCTAATTGGGTGTAAAGAATTGATCAGTCAGTTTAGTCTTAAAGTGGTTCTAAAGGCTTACAGTTTTTTACCTTCATGCATTCTATGCATGAAGGTAAAAAATCTTCTGTGTGCAGCGGCCCCCAGCCCACCCTAATACTCACCTAAGCCCCCTACTCACCTAAGCCCCCTCTCGATCCCTCTCAGCGATGTGCACTGGAGTCTCGGCTATCCCGGGACTCCCTCTTCTCATTGGCTGAGACAGAAGTGGGAGCCATTGGGAAGAGAGAGGGGGTGGGGCTGACCCGCGGCTTCACGTGTGAATGGACACACAGAGCAGCCAGTGCCTCCATAGCAAGCTGCTTGCAGTGGGGGCACCCGACAGGATGGAGGGGCCAGGAGAACCTGTGGGAGACCTGAAAACAGGAGGATCCAGGTTGCTTTGTGCAAAATAACCACATACAATTGCTAAGTAATAGACATGTTTGTAAAAAAAAAAAAAAGGTTTAGAATCACTTAAATGCTGGCATGTAATCAATAGCAATCTAACGGGAATGGAAGCATTTTTTTTCTTTTCTTTTTTTTTCTTTTTTTCCAGGTCTTTTATTGGTTATTTTTGTTTCTTTATGTAGACATACTGTATAAGTTGATGTATACCACCTGTAGTTTGTAGTGCAACTTGGGTAAAGTAAGTCCTTCTCTTTTTTTATGTGCTGAACAGATTTATATTTTTTTAATTGTGCTAGGGACTACAATAAGAAAAAATTTCCATAAAATTAACAGTATGATCCTTGAAATATTATTTTTTTAAAAATCTGATTTATCAGTCTGAAAAAAGCACATAAAGCATGCTAAAATAACTTCTTCCATAATATCACATGTGAAACCAAGAGAAACATGTAAGTTGTTATCGCTGATCTCTTTATGAAAGTGTTGTGTACCTAGCTGTCATTGGCTTAAGCATTGAGGCTTGGAACAAGCATGCAGCAAGTGTAATGCAAAATCAAAATTCCTGACATGTGACACAAAAAGTATTGAAACTATTGCATCAGCATAAAAGCTAGACAACTTGCAATTTTAGAAGTTGAGCTCAGCACTAACAGCCACCATGTTCATTCAGCACAGGTTGATAAATTAGGTTGAATAAGTTAAAGTAGAATTTTGGCATTCCTATAAAAATAAAATAAGCAGTGCAAACTTATTGAAATCTCTAAAATGGACTCCCATGTCAGAATACTTATGTGAGCTAATACAATCTAGATCCTGTATCCTTTACTATAGACCCACAGTAGCCTCAGGACTCTCCGTAGATTCAACCCCAGGCCATTCTATCAACTTCAGAAGTACCTTGCTTCACTCACAAATCCAGAGAACTACCAGCCCCCCCCCCATAAACTGATCTATCCCCAGCCTCCTTTTGTAGAGTAATGTATCCTCCTGGCACCTACATAGGTTTGCAGAATGCTCTGCTCTCTAGAGCCTCGCACTATCTTCAGGCCTCCCCAAGGACTGATATCACTAATTTAATAGATATGTATCTATATATCTCATGGGAAATGCCTTAATCACTATACAGTGTCCGTTCAAATACAAAAATCTATGTTTGTTCAAGAATGATTTGAACTATTTTAATCGTAATAGAATAAACTTGATGGATTTTATGATGAAGTACATGTACTGAGATTGACAGCCCTTTACTGGGCTTACAGTACCCTCCAATTCTAAAGACCTTCTGCACCAAGCTCCCTCCGTATATTCCTAGAACTCCTTACACCAAGCTCCCTCTGACATCTCCTAAAATTACACACAACCCAATCATAAGTAAATGGAGAACAGCCTTGAAAGTAAGTATGTAGACTTGTACAGTTACCTCTACCCCCACCCCCCTACCAAGTTATAGCTGGGAAGGAAGTCACATAGGGGAAGGTTTACTAAAACTTGTGTACTCAGAATCTGGTGCAGCTGTGCATGGTGGCCAATCGGCTTCTAACCTCAGCTTGTTCAATTAAGCTTTGACAATAAAACCTGGAAACTGGTTTTTATGCAGAGCTGCACCAGATTTTGTGCTCTCCAGTTATAATAAATAACCCCAAAGGGGTTTGTTTACTAAAGCTGGATCACTCAGAATCATGTGCACTTCTGCATGGAAATCAGTCAGCTTACAGGTTTTATTCCTAAGGCTTAATTCAACAAGCTGAGGTTAAAAGCTGATTGACTACCATGCACAGCTTCACCAGATTCTGAGTGAATCAGCTTTAGTAAATCCCCCCCACAGTCTCTGCTGTACACGTGGTCAGCCTAAGTATATTTCATTCACTCCACATTGCTTTATTTATGACTCTGTTGTCTTTGATGAATTATCTTTCAGGTATTCAGTCTTTGTTCAGACATTCATAGAATCTGCTGAGAAGTATTTTATGGTGGGACATAAAGTCACCTATTATATATTTACTGATCAAGTCAGCAACATTCCTGCCTTCACCCTGGGTACTGGCAGAAAATTGGTAACACTGGAGGCTCCCAGCTACCAACGTTGGCAAGATGTGTCCATGCGACGGATGGAGATGATTCGTGATCAATCCCACCAGAGATTTATCCATGAAGTGGATTATCTGGTGTGTGTGGATGTTGATATGAGGTTCAGTGATGAGGTGGGGGTTGAGATTTTAAGTATTGTGTTTGGAACATTACATCCTGGTTTTTATACTGCATCACGAGAAGGATTTACTTATGAGCGGCGACCAGAGTCCACAGCTTACATTCCCAGAGATGAAGGGGACTTTTACTATGCTGGTGGATTTTTTGGGGGGGGTACAGTAGAAGAAGTCTACAGACTGACCAACTTCTGCCATAATGCTATGATGGTAGATAAAGAAAGACAAATTGAAGCCATCTGGCATGATGAAAGCTACTTGAATAAGTATTTTCTTTATCAAAAACCCACTAAAATTCTCTCTCCAGAATACCTGTGGGATAATGATTTCGCAGCTCCGGATTTTCTCAAGAAAAGAAGATTTGTTGCTGTTTCAAAGAACCATAATGCAATTCGCAACAAACGAGCACTGCAGAGTGTTTCAGGAATTGAAGGAAATTTACATAGGTGATGGGATTTCACCTACAGCAAATCACAAACCTGTTCAAGCAATTTACTTTTTCTGTAGAAAGATTCCAGCTATAGTAGTTGGATGTGCTTGATGGTCAATCTAACAGAGAGCATTTATAAAATGTCAGACCTGGCTGTGTGCTGCCCAACAGTTCTTCTTGGGCAAAATAATACATTTTATGTAACACACATCTCAGTTGTAATATATATTGTGGTGTTAGAACACAATAAATGTCCAGTTACAGATTTTAATCTACTGCCCAGTGAAGGCTGAGTCATACCTGATTTTCCTTATAATTAATGTTTTTTCTTTTGTTGCTTTAGTGTTAGCTAGGGATCCTCATCATGTCTTTGCTGAGATCAGCATAGCAGAAGTTTTATATGTCCAGTTTTCCTTTTTGCAGTTACCCTTCCAGGTACCCAATCCTCCGATCTGACATAGATTCAGCAAAACTTGTTCTGGAGACTTATTTTTAGAAGATGTCAACTGTTCAGCCTCAAAAGCGTATGTATATCATAAACATATTTCCTGGTGCCTCCATGGCAGCATACCTGTGATAACCTCCACCTTGACCTCCTCCATCAGGACCAGTGAATATTATTATAGATTAAGACACCCTCAGCAGTCTCACTTGGAGAACATGAAGTTTGGCAGAAAGGCAATTAAGTCTGCTTTTGCCTGTTCCAAATAAACCTTTTTCAAATAAACCTCTTCTAAGCATGATCCCACCCATTTCAGCTATGGAGGTACCAGGAAAACAGAAAATTGTACCATACTTAACGTAATTTCCTTTTCTGGTGCATATCCATGGCATCACATGGCCCCACCTTGGTATTCTATATTAAGGAGAATGCTGGGGGTGTCTTAATCCTTTTTTTTTTTTAAATAATATTCACTGGTCCTGAGGGAGGAGCTCAAGGCAGAGCTTATCATAGGTATGCTGCCATGGATAGGCAACAGAAAAGGAAAATGATGGTAAGTATGGTACAATTTTCTGTAGAGGAAGAGAAGGGATCTAATCTCTGTCAAGTATGTATTGCTGTCTGTTCCCAATTGGGAGATTCGCCCTCTATTTGATCTGATGACTATTTTCAGCAGGACTGAAAGGGAAGGTAAATCAAACCATTTATGGCTGGCCACAGAACAGGAGGTAAGGATCAAATCTTCCAATTAGGACCTCTGTCCCAGAGACAACTGCCTAAGAGGGGAATTTCATTTTATAAGAAATTTCTTCTCATGTTGCTTTTTAATGCTTTCCTACTATTTTCAAAATGAAATGAAACCTTTTTGGTATTGCTGTTGTCATCTGATATTACACCTAACATACGAGTGCTTGGTGCATTAATTGGTGGTAGGTTCACAATTGTTGGTGTTATTGCACTTCCTTGTTCTGTAAACACAGTGGATTATTTTTGTGGTTTCACTTCCATCTTCCAGCGCAAATGTAAATGTCTGTATAGTACAGCTTTTCTAAACCAGGGTTCTGTGTGCTCCCTGAGCAGCGATTTGGATTGATTTCCTGCCTGATTCTGCTTGCATAATTTTGGGAACAATTACTTGGCAGGCCTGGCCGCACAGGACCAGTGGAGCTTTTCATCTTTGTATCAGCTAAGTAACCATTGACATCAATGATCATGTTAGCTGTGTGTAGAGGGAACATTATTCCAAATGTAAAGCACATTTTTTCAACTGTCCATTTTATATGAGGCTGCTGGACTCTGATTACCAATATGTGAGAATTCTTCCAACTAATGACTAATGTGACAGCGTATTCTTTTGTTCGTGGCCACCAGTGTGGTATGGCATATGAACAGTGAGCTGTTCCCTGAAAGCTGAAAAAGATGTAATGGTTTCCACCATTGTAAAATGGTTGAGCGACTGGCAGAGAACAACTTTCTTTCTTTTTAATGGCTTTAGAGTAAATTTTGTTAATAACAAATTGTAATAATGCGGAATATAGGAGAAGTGTCCCGGCTGCCATACACCTCAACCAACTGCATGGTTAGTAGGTAAAAGCAGCCCCAGCTCGCTCCATCAAGGCCACACTCCCAACACGTGTCACTCCTGCAGACATTCATAGTAGTATTACTAAAGACAATATAAACATTAGCAAGAAATATTACAATAAAGTAAAGAACTTTTTCTTAAGAGTCTGTTCACCCAAGATTCACAACTTTCACCTATTTTCCTAATAGACTCGTATGTGAAAAATGGAAGATTATTGGGTAAAAATTGTGTAAATATTAGGTGATAACATTAAAGCAGTAGTAAACTATAGGAAAAAAAAAAAAAAAGTCCAATGCAAGGTCATGTCATAACATGCTAGTATGCATCACATACTAGAACATTATGTAAAACTTGTCTTAAAATGAAGCCCTCCAGCAGCACGCTGGCCCTGCTGCAGAGACTTCCATCTTCACCCGGTCTTCCTTCCAGGTTTGCATGTGCACAGGAGTCCTGGGCCACGGCACACAGCTCTGAAGGTACAGCACGGTTATGCTGTTCCTTCAGAGCTTATGATCCGGCTTTAGAAAAGAGAGAATATCTCCTAAACCGTTCATGTTTAGGAGATATTCATTTTACCTACAGATGAGCTTTATTATACGTTTACCTGTAGGTAAAATTTTAAAAAACGAGTTCACTATAACTTTAATAAATAGACCACTTGGTGTTCACCTCTGATATAACACACTGTGAAATGCAGAAATGACTTTTGTGGATGTCAGAGTAAGTTGTGTGTAGAACGGGCTCATTCTACATACATCTCTTCGCTTGTATTAAAGTTCAGTCTGTATTAAAGCTCTCACCTCTTATCTGGTGTTAGTACTCATCCTTATTTGTGCTGAATATGGCAGAGTCAGATGAGACTATCAAACGCTGTCACTATCTAATTGTGGAATATAAAAATTTCTGCTTTGTCTAACCACATGGGACCAGAGGTGAGGGAAAAATTTCCCCAGTGGGGATACAGACCTAAAATACTACATTAAAGAGGATCTAACCTTTCCCCATTCTGCCCAAAACAAATATGGTTTTGGAGAGTGAAGTGAAAAGAATCATTCCACAGTAAGAGTTTGATTATGGCAGTACATTCTATAATGAGAATAAAGAATTTGCTCCCATTACTTTATAATTTTCCTTGCCAGCTGCAGACCTACCCCTTTTCCCATTGACAACCATGTTTAATGAATCCTGTCAGGAAAAATATTTTGCGACAATAAGCTACCCCTTGAGGGCTACATGTTAAGTAAGATGGTAGATTTGCCAGGTGTAGTGGAATGCATGGCGTTGTAATGCCATCCTACATAATGAAGTATACAGATTTGTCATGTGGCCAGGTTGTAGTTGGGAAGCCCAAGGGTCACTGTTATGACAAAACACCCTTTCCTCTGTGAGATGGACTTTAGGAAGTTGAACAGAGATTTGCCTCCAAGTTTGGAGGTGTGCAGCCAAAGTTCAAAGAGGAAGGAGCTGAACATGGGGCTGTAATTGCTTGCTTGAACTGAGAAAGAGTTTTAGCAGCCCGAGTGGGAGCCAAAGAAAACTCCAGAAAAACCACCAGGCTAGGTTCACACTAACGCGGTGTGGTACATTGCATGTGATTCGCTCAGGAACCAAACCGCACCGCATTCCTGTGCAAATTACATGCGAATTCTGTGCAGTGCGATTTTAGCAACCCCCCCACCACTCTTTACCAAACATGTTCCACCCATAGAGAGAGAATTAGTCAAGCACTAACCTTAACCTCTCTAGAAAGCAGCTGGCCATCCCCAGAGCCAAGCCCAGTGTCTTCCTTCCTTGTGTGAGAAGCTTTCACCCTCCAGCAGCGTACAGCCTCCTTGAATTCTATGGCGAAAGGCTCACCAGGTCTCCATCCCTGCCACGTGTGTCTCTTCTTCCAGGGGGTAGCGCTCCCCCGCCCCCTGAAAAATTGCCGCCCTAGGCAAATGCCTTGTAGTAAATACGCCACTGCCCATGACAGCTGTCTAAGATGGGAATTCCCCTCCATCTTGGTGATTACTCCTCATTTCCTGTTATGGCTTTACTCTGCATGTTTATTAAAAAAATTGGCTTTAACCTCCTATTTAAATAATTCCACAATTATCCACCGGAGATATATATCACAAAAACATTTCAAAACTTCCCTTTTTGAAAGCTAATCCGGTTCCCTAACCCAGTGTTTCTCAACCTTTTTTCCAGTCAAGGCAACCTTTAAAATTATGGACAATATCAAGGCAGCCTCTAAAATTATGGACAGTCTTGAGGCACCCCTTTCTAAAATGCAAAAAACTATTCTAATAGTTTTATATAATGCAGCAGCATCCACACATGGACATCTGTTAGAGGTGATTTATTCTTCCAAATCAAATATACATTTGCACACTGGTCCTGACTATTATTACAGTGTTTCCTTGTTTTTCTCCATCACTGAGCTAATGTGACCCCAGCACTGATGGAGAGGGGCAGGGGAGGGTCAAACAGGGATGCTGTGCAGCCAACCGATATCCTCCTTGCAAAGTGATGATGTCATTGGTTGTCAGGACGTCGGCGGCTAGAAGGTTGGCTTTGTGTAACTAAAAGTCAGGTTTCTTCTATCTGCTGGTTTGTATACAATTTTTGGGCAACATTTAGACATTTTTCCAAGGCATCCCTGAAGAAACCTCAAGGCACCCTGGTTGAGAAAGGCTGCCCTAACCTATCAAGCCCACCAGCACTCCAGTATTTTGTCAACCACCAACAATGCAATGGAAGTACAGAGCTACATTTTATAAAAATGTAAAATACAATATGTGTCAAAATCCTTCTTTTTAGAAGTGTATTTAGGGTATATTATGTCTTCTGTGATGTAACAAACACCATCAGTTCTCATCTCCATTCCACCCTCTTTGAAGAGACCCTCATCTTTTAAAGCACAAGTTCACTTTAGAAAACAAATGTACATTTTTTTCCAAGTAACAAAAAGGTGCATTCATAATTATTCTTTTTTATTTTTATTCTTA